GGTCTTGTGTGACCAACCTGTCATGGGATGAAAGAAGAAACAGATTTATTATTGAGAAAAGACAGATGATGATGCAAAGCAACTGTGCAGTTAAGTTAAGAAAATAGTTAACCACAAAGAAGATTGTGAAAGTGAATTAATTCAACATGCTTTGACAATACAAGGGAGACGTCTATCAAATATGAAGTGTGTTGTGCTCCACAATAACTCATCTGAGTTCTGCTCCATGTCTCATTTAGTTCTGTGATGCTTGCTTAGTTTTTGAAAGCTCACGACTGTGTGGGATGTAGTCGGCTTCATCACTGACACTGATGTATGAATGGCCAGAGGGAACATGACGACGGACTGGCTAGTGTGGCTAATTCATAGAAGGATTTTATGAAAGACTCTTTAGAGAGCACCACTCAGTGTTCAAGGTATTTACATACATATAATAGGCACTTATCGTGGTTTGTCAGAAATATTCTTGTGTGGTTAAGGCCTTAGGTAGCAGCATAATTCCCTATGTAATATTTAGGCACGTTAAATAATTTGTTTGGCATTTATCATTAGCATTGAAGTTGTGGTCATAGGGAGTGGTGGCACAGAGGTTAGAGAAGGTGGACTTGTGATTGGAAGATCACTGGTTCAACTCTCAGTACCGGCAACATCAAAATGTGGATAGAAAAGGTGAAGCACCCACACCTGCCTCCACCCTCATTTGTCCCACTCTGGACCCATGAGCAAGGCCCTTAACCCCTACCATCTGCTCCACTGGGCACCCTAGATGGCAGCTCTCTGCTCTACACAGTCTCTACACTGTGGTAGCTTAGTGGTCTGTGGTTGCGTCAGGAAGGGCATCCGGTGTAAAAACAATTGCCAAGTCTTTGTGCAACTTAGTTCACTGTGGCGACCCCTGAAGAAGGGAGCAGCCAGAAGAAGAAAAAAATCAAGTTGTGGTCATCTTTGAAATACAGTACTTCAGTTCACTTGATTCTGGGTGATATACAATGACTCTTAAATATGTCTAAGCTTCACTATGTTTCCACGTGAACTATTGATACTATAACCATCCTTCTTTTTATGTAACTCCACAGTGTCCTGAAAAAAAGGCAGTATACAATATACAACTAGGCAAGAATGACTGTGAATTCAGTAATTACAACACAAAAAATATATATTTACTAACTCAATTCATTCATTCATCCATCCATCCATTTTAATCCATTTGTTTTAGAGTTGTTTCACTTCAGCAGCAGCTTAAGCAGGGAGGGTCAGACCTCTCTTTCCCAAGCCACCTTTTAAAGCTCTTTTGGGAGAACCCCAAAGCATTCCCAGGCCAGCCGAGAGACAACTAGTCTCTCCAGCGGCGGCTGTGGCTGAGTGTGAGCAGTCGTCCTTCAATGCGAGAGTTGGGGGTTTGAATCCACCAGCAGTCACATGCTGAAGTGTCCCTGGGAAAGACACTGAACCTCTCATCGCCTCTGATGTGTGTCCCATCAGTGTATGAATGTGATCTAAAGCACTGATTAGTCTCTTTAGAATGATTTGTTCAATTAGCTTTGTAGAGATCTAGTAGAGTGCTATATGAATGGATAAATGAGGACACATATTGTAGTGTAAAGTGCTTTGAGTATCTTGAAATAAGGTAGAAAGGCACTATATAAGTACAGTCCATTTACCATTTACCATTCCAGCATGCCCTGGGTCTTCCCTGGCATCTCTTTCCAATCGGACATGCCCTATGCACCTCCCTAGGGAGGCACCCAGGAGACATCCTTACCAGATGCCTGAACTACCTCAACTGGGTCCTCTTGATGTGGAAGAGCAGCCACTCCTGCGCCAAGTCTATCCCGAATAACTGAACTTCTCACTCTACATCTCAGGGAGAGAACACTGTGGAGAGAAAACTAATTTCAACTGTCTGTATCCACGATCTTGTTAATTCAGTTACTACCCAGAGTTTGTGGCAATAGGTGAGGTTAGGAATGTAGAACGACGGGTAAATAGAGAGCTTTGCCTTACAACTCAACTCTCTCATTTACACAATGAACAGGCACAAAGTCTGCAATACTGCAGATGCTGCACCAATCTATTGTTCTTCCTGGATCTGAGGTTTGACCATCAATCAGACTTGCTTCTCCAGTACTCCTTAATAGATCTTACTGGGGAGGCTAAGGAGAGTGATGCCAATATTATTGGAACACACCATCCAAGCCCTCTTTGAAAATGGGAATCACCACTCCACTCTGCCAATCCAGTGGCACTGCCCCCAATATCCACAACATTTTGCAAGTGTGTGTTAACCAAGACAGCCTTGCAATATCCAGAGCCTTGATGAACTCAGGGCTGATATCATCTACCCCCAGAGCCCTGTCACCATGGAGCTTTTTAACTACCGCGGTGACCTCAGCCCCAGTCATGGACATAGCAACCCCGAAGTCCCCCGACTCAGCTTTTTCCATGGAAGATGTGCCGGTGGGATTTAGGTTTCCTTCCACCTCCCAGCGACATCACTGGTTGAGGTCATCGGCACCTCACCCTCACTAAACAGTGTTGGTAAAGTGCTGCTTTCTCCACCTCAGATTCTTGATGGTTTACCAGAAGCTCCTCAGAGTTGATCAAGAGTCTCTATCCAAGGCCTCACTTCCCACATCCAAGCTTTTGCCTCAGCAAAAGCCAGGGCTGCAGCCTGCTTTGTCTGATGATACACCTCAGCTTCCCCCAGAGTCTTACCAGCCAACAATGCCCAATATGACTCAATTTCAGCTTGATGACCTCCCTAACCTGTGGTGTCCACCACCAAGTTTGAGGATGGCCACCACAAAAAGCACCAACAACATTGCAGCAACAACTCAAGGCAGCTGCCTAGACAATGGAAGCGCTGAACATGGCCCACTCAGACTCAATGGCCTGGGTTTAACAGGTCTGTCTGGCATCTTCCCCTCCCATCTGATTCAACTCACCACAGTTGACAGCTCAGCTCCTCCCTTAAACCAAAGTGCCCAAAACATATGGTTGCAGATCATATAACAAAACAACAAAGTCAATCATCGGTCCGCGGCCTATGGTGTCCTTGTGCCATATACATTTATAGACATCCTTCTGTTAGAAAATGATGTTTGTGATGGACAAACCATAATTAGCACAGAAGTCCAACAACAGAACACATATTGGGTTCAAATCAGAGTGGTCATTCCTTCTATTCACACCCTTCCAGGTCACACTGCCGTTACCCACGTGGGCATTGAAGTCCCCCAGCAGAGTAAAGGAGTCCCTAGCTGGAGCACTTTCCAGCATCCCCACTAATGACTCCAAGTACTCTGAACGGCAGTTTGGCGTGTAGACACAAACAACCGTCAGAGCCTGTCCCAATACCCAGTGGCACAGGGAAGCTACCCTCTCATTTACTGGAAAAAACTTGCTTCTCACCATGCAACCAGGCAACTCCAGAATGGAATAAGGTCATGCCCCTCAAAAGAGATTAGTTCCGAAGCCCATGAAGTGCAATGAGTTGAGCCTAACTATATATATTCATTACCTCTTAACCTCACCCACAAGCTCAGGCTTCTTCCCTACCAGAGAGGGGATGTTCCATGTCCAAGAGCCAGATTTTATAAGCTAATGTCAGTGCACCAATATCCCTTCCTTCAGCTAGAACCAATGGAATTTTGCATCTGACTTGAATGGGCACTTCTGCAGGTGGTAGGCCTACAGGAAAGCAAATCCATGTTGCTCATTTGGGCTGAGCTTGATCCGGCACCAGGCATTCACTGACGATTCCCTTCCCCAGGCCTGGCTCCAGGGTGAGGCCCCAGTAACCCACATCTGGGCAAGGGACACTGAGCTTCTTGCTGTTTTTTGTCCATATGAGTCTTTGGAATTCATTCAGATATGTATTTTTGTACTGTTATAGTCACTCATTGAAAAGGGATCCATTTTTTTTAGCATATATATATCTTCATTATGGCCATAAAATTGTGTTTACACATAGCCTATTTTTTTATACAAATTTGAATAGGCTTCATTTATTCACATCAGATATTATTTGATTCATTCACAATGAGTCAACATGACAAGCAATTATTGCTCGACATGTTTCCCTTGACACTGATTGGTCTATAATCTTGTTTGTAATACAAAACATAAAAAAATTTGTATGCATGTCAAGCTTCTTGGAATAATTATTTTTTGAATCAAAAATGGAAAGCCTCAAGCAGGGTACTGTCTGCTTATTTTGCTCATATCTTCTAGTCTTAACGCCACATGGACATGTTAGCAATAAAATAAAACTTTATTTTCTCTGTAGGGGTTCTTAAATGTTTTAACTTTGTGTAATTTATGCTAAATTGATCTATAATTACTTTGATCACTCATTATTTTTGCATGTGTTGCTGTGACTATGTTTATGTTCAACATAACATCATATTGTGGGGACACTTTTGTTAAGGAAATTGAATGCATTCCTTACCAATTTTTTGTTTATGTTTTACTGAAGAACATACCAGTAAATCTGTTTTTGCATTTAAATGCATTTTTAAATACACAAACCATTGCTTACATGACCATAAAGTGACCATTTGAAATAAGTTCAACTTCTTCAGTTAAAATTATATTTTGTATTCATGTTACCTCTATTGTGTGTATTTTATTACATAAATAAACAAAGGGCTTAAAGAGTGATGTATGGGATATTTATTTGAACAGCCTTATTATGATTTTCAGTCTTGCAATCAGGATCTCTCTCTGATAGTTGCAACCATAATATGTATATTTCCTAGATATTCCTATGATAAAATATTGCACTCTCAGACTGACATCACAGATTATTTTGTTTTCATAAAACTTGGGAGCTATTCTAACTTCAAGAAAGGTTTTCCTGTAATACTGTGACCTTAACAATATTAATCATGATACTCCAGTTTCATTTACAGCTTTCTGCCTTTACAACTTGTGAATGAGTGAATTGTAATACATAAAATAATCAGTCTGTGTCTGTATTTTTTGCCTCTGTTTTTTAGACAGAAGCCAGGGAGACCATAGCACGGACATTAGGAGAATTGGACTTGGGCCGGACAGAGAAATGTGTGAGGGTAAACTCAGTTTCCAGTGGCCTAGCTGAGGAGGACCTGCAAGTCATTATGCAAGCAAAGGTTCTTCCTCCTGCCTTCATGTTGCCTAAAGTGGAGGATACTCAGGAGGTCAAATGGGTAAGCAAAAAATCATTCACTATATTTGAACCACTGTTCCAAACTGTTTATAATTAGCTATTGTTTTTCTAACTTTCAAAATAATACTTAAAATATATCATAAATCATCAGGATACTAAGTTTCATGAGCTCATCAAGTACAAAAAATAAATAAGAGTCATCAAAGAGTTGTAGGCTCAATCATCCATGTAGACAACAACAAAAAAGGTTAAATTGTGTCATCTGGACCAGTTTCTTTAAGTGAGAAATGTTTTGTCCCCCATCCAGAGGACTTATTCAGTCTACACCAACCAGATGTGTCCCATAGGTAGCCTTCATTGCTGGTTTCCAAGCCAACCTCCTGTTGGAATCTCAAAAGTAGACTTTTAACATATGCAAAACACACCCTTCCAAAACAATCAATCATCATGTGCAACAAGCAAATGTTTTAGGCCAGATGGCCAACTTGCTACTCACAGAAATAACCTGAGGACCACCAAGGCCAAAGTGGTTCAGAAAAGGGTTGTTAGCTCAATCATCCAGGTAGATAACAACAAAAAATGTTAAGTTGTGTCATCTGGACCAGTTTCTTTAAGTGAGAAACATTTTGTCCCCCATCCAGAGGACTTCCTCAGTCTACAGCCTGCCAACCAGATGTTTCTGTGAGAAGCAAGTTGGTCTTCTGGCCTAAAACTGTTGATTGTTGTACATGATGACTGATTGTTTTGGATGGGTCTGTTTTGCACGTGTTAAAAGCCTACTATTGATATTTCAGCAGGTTGGCTTGAAACACAGCAGTGAAGGCTACTATGGGAAAGATCTGGTTGGCAGGCCATAAATGAAGGAAGTCCTCTGGATGAGGGACGAAATGTTTCTCACTTAAAGAAACTGGTCCAGATGACACGAGTTAACCTTTTTCGTTGAAGAGCCATCATAATAAAGTTGTCTAACATTAATTCAATTTCTGTCAAGACTTCTGGGGATAAAGAGAGTTTTTTCCTTGGCTTCAGCTCAAGAGAAGGATGGCATTTATTTGAATCATCTTGAGACGCCTGATAGGTTTCTGTAACAACACAATGTGCCTTCTGCCACTGTTGAACTGACTGTAGACAACTGTGAACAAAGTCATGTTATGGTTTAGAACTAAATGGTATGATACAAAGTTTATTCATTTTAAAAAAGTACAAAACAATTCCATAACAATATAAAAAGATACAAGAGATTTAAAATGAAAGGCAGCAGAAAGAAGAAAAAATCTTATTATATCTGCCCCTTTTTCAAACAATTATTTCAATCATAATAATCTTCAAGTAACAGAACAAAATGAGTAACTCTTTCTAATTGTTCTAATTCTAATACAAAAAACACACTAATCTACTTCATATGTATTTTTTAACAATTCAGTTTTGATCTTTTTCTTAAATGTTCACATCGACTTGGCATTTTTAACACCACTCTCTAGACCATTCCACAGTCCAACTCCTTGGATTGAGGTAGACCTTCCCTTCAGACTAGTTCTGGATTTTGGTTTGACAAATATCTCTATCCCCTTAAGATTATAGCAACTTTGTCTTTTAACAAAATTTCTTTGGATATTTAATGGTAATGTGTTATTTTGAGCCCTATACATAACTGATAAAATACTGTAATCTACTAAATCATGGAACTTTAATAACTTCAGTTGATAAAATAATGTGCTTGATGGGTGACTGTAATGCTTTCTGGTGATAATTCTTACAGCTCTTTTCTGTAAAATAAAAATAGGTTTTGTAAATGTTTTACATGCTTTCCCCCAAACATCAATGCAATAGATTAAATGTGGAACAATGATTGTGTTATACACCATGTACAGAGCTTTATCATTTAATAATTCCCTAACTTTGTATAGTACTGCAATAGATTTAGCTATTCTTGTTCTTATAGAACAAAAACTAACGCTGTTTTGCTCTTCTTAAATCATATTTGTTTCAGTCAATGTGAGCCTGCATCTGCAATGTATTGTATATATTCATGTTAAAACGTATTAAAATTGTATATACTTGATGAAAAAAAAACTGTTTTACCACTAAGACTTGTATGTGTTAGAAAGCTGTGGTCTTGTCTTTTGACAGTAAGTAGAATTTTTTTTTTGTTAGGAATGTTATGCTTAGGATTTTAAATTAAACTGATGTTTTCTTTGTTTGTTTTGTCTTGATTTACTGGTAAAATAGTTAAGAGGCATTTATTTTGACTTGATTGTGCTTTTTGGTTTCAATAGAGAGTTTTGTGTGGATGTCAAATCCTAAAAGGTCAGGAGAGAGTGATGTAATAATTCAGACCATTTTGATCAGCTCCATATTTCACATACAAGATTAAAAACATGTATATGTATATATAATTAATTTCATTTTAGTGGAAATTTTTCATTGCACTGTTAACATGTTATTTACTTTTTCTTAGCATGGATTTTAACAGGCAATCAGTTTAGTTCAGTGTGTTCTTAAGTGGCTGATATATCCTTTAAAAGCTTCAGTTAAATCTATAGTGAAAGGCCTGTGTATAGTCTGGTTTCTTACTTTTCTTACCAACAAGCAGAAATATGGGCACATGTGTTCTCTTAGGTAGGCGCAAGAAGTTTTTAACTGGTGGCTTTAATTGGAACACATCTATTTCCTGCTGCCTTTCCTTTCTTCCAAGTATAATTGGTGACAGGTGTTCACCTATTCTCTTGCCCAGTCTTTCATCCATGGCTACTCTTACAAAAGGCCACTTTTGTTACGCAGTTTTTAGAAATCAATTACTTTAATAATTATTATTTTCACTGCACGTTTAAAAACCATTGTCAGCACGTTAAAGCTGTAAAATACAGATAATTTCTGAACATTTTCTTCTGTTACTATTACTCCTAATTGTACGTTTATTTAATTAAACATCTGCAGATCCCCTCCAGAGAACAGGCTGCAAGCTTATCATACGTGTATATATATATATATATATATATATATATATATATATATATATATATACAGTATATATATATACTGTATATATACAGTATATATATATAGTGTGTGTGTTTTGCAGCAACAGGTGCATTCTTGCTCCTAAATCAAAGATGTGTGTAGGTCTGAGTAGGATCCTGATTCTGTCATGCATGCTCATCTAATCCTGCCCCAGACCCTCACAACTCTTTCCGTGTGTTTGTATTGTAAGCATGTGCCCTATTCTCTCCACTCTTGTTAGGCAGGGCAGTAAATCCCTCACTTGTTTATTTTTCACCCCTTTTTTATTGATATTGGCACAGGATCCTTCAGACTGATTTGTCTCCAAAAGATGGACTTTCTTGTTTCTCTTTGTGCAGAAATCTTTTGCTCCCTCTCTCTGCTCTTCTCTGGCCCTTGTGTGACTGACAGGCCTTATTGGGCTGTAACTCCCTCCTTTTGTTTGAGGACAATTGTCACATAGATTCGGAGCCGTGCACATTCTTTGCCCACCACACTATTTGGTGTGCGCTGGGACCAAAAGAATTGCACCCTGTCCCACTCCTCCTCCTCAACTCCTCCTCCTTCTCCTCCCGTACCCTTCCCTCATCCCTTTTCTCCGCTTCCCCTCTGTGAAATGAACACTTCAGCAGGCCGGAAACATTTAATCGGGCCTCCTTTTGAAGAAAATTAATTGAAACTTGTCTCACTATAGCCTCCTTTTTCTCGAGCGTCTTCTCTCCCTCCTTCTTTTTTTCATGATTAAGAGTGGAAATTGTCAGAGGGCTTGTTTGTATTGTGGGTTTGAATGGCAAGAAGAGGTGTTGCTTCTACTTTTTTACAAATCTCCTTTGTCAGTTCAGTGGTGAATAACACCTTGAAGGGTCTTAGTTTTGATAGCTATAGACAGCTAATGATTGCTGTGTGTTAGAGTAACAATAAACAGGCACTATAGTGCCTCTTATCCTGGTAAATCAGACCCTAAAGTGTATAATAGCTGAAGAGGAGAGGACAGAAACATGCAATCAGAGGGTTTTTTTCCCTTTTGGCCAGAGCTGTCTCATGTTTTCTTTGGTTAGAGTCTGAAAAGCTCACTTGTCTCGCCGCAGCCTTGTTAAGGTTTACATGGGCACGGTGTGTTTGGCGCTAACATCTTCTTGTGTGATATCTGCAAGATTTCCCGACAGCGCTTCATATCTATCTAGTTTCCTCTGTCACAGGAATGGGTTTATCTTCACCCTCTTTTCACACTCCCTCTCAGACCCTGCCAACCCTTCCCGTGTCGGCAAAGGAGGGGGGCATATTATGCTAAACCCCCAGCGTTAGTTTTTATGTTGCCATAGCAGCCTTGCTCCCACAGGGTTGTGACCTCAGATGATTACAGTACAAAGCCCATTGGGTCTTGAAAACCTCTTTGAAGATGAAAAGTCTTTGATGGTTTGTATTTATGCAAATCTCTCAGATATGATTTATCCAACTGAGATTGAATGGAGAGATGATTAAAATTGCCTCTATTTTTTAAAATCCTTCAATGGAGGTCCGCTCTTTTGGTTTGGAGAATGAGAGTGGGCGAGTGCGAACATGGGGGCTATTGTTCATCTTTACAAAAATAGTTGCGACATACCTGAAGTTATTTATAAAGATTTTTTTGTATGCGTGTGTTTTTTTGTTGGTGTGTCAAAGAAGATGCAAAAGAAGAGGAAAGGGGGAACTTAGACATTTCTGCTCTGAGCTTTTGCACTCTCTTTTCTTTTTTTGTCTGGCTTTGAAAGGAAATATCTGACGGTGGGGGCTTTTGTGTGTTTCCAGATGATAGATTTAGGAATTTGGGCAACCCCACTGGTAGTCCGGGGCTAGCTGTGAACTGGTCTGTTGGAAAAAATTTGAAAGCTTTGGTCTTCAAAGATTTAAACTTGGGTTTTAAAACCCTACTTAGGTGCGCTTGCATATTAGCAGGAGTCGTGCAGAATAAAGGCCTCAGCAAAGTGTCACATCCCACTCTGATCATTGCTGCCGTCTCCCAGTCCTCTCTGCCACTGAGGTGGGACGCAAAACAGAATAATGTATCAGTATAAACCAACTCAAAGACATCCCAAATCTTCCCTTGTTTTTTCTTTTATTTCATTTCTTCTTTGCTTTGCTGTGCATGTGATGGTGCGTGGACGTGTGCATTTACATGCATACACGCTCTCTCAGGGGAGCACAAGCTGTGGCCGAGGAGACTTTCTGAAATAAGGTAGTGCAGAAGACTTCAGATGAAGGGAGGAACCCTGGTGAAAATGTAAAATATTTTATATTTGACTTGCTTTTTGTTTGTGTGCCTCCTGCTCCTTGCTCTTGGTGCGGTTTGAACCTTCAAAGATGTGTCTTTAAATGAGGACTGGAATGGGAAGAGAAGTTTCTTCTCTTCTTAGTCCACACATTTACAAATATTTGTCTAATGAATTTTAAATATTACTACAAAATGGATGAACATTGTATACCAAGGTATACCAATCTATGCCAGTATTATACCATGTATAACATTGTATACCATTTTATAAATGGATGAAAATTGTATACAATGGTATACCATTGTATAACAATATTATACCATGTATAACATTGTATACCACTCTATAAATGGATGAAACTTGTATACCATTGTATACCAATATTACACCATGTATAACATTGTATACCATTTGATAAATGGATGAAACTTGTATACAATGGTATACCAATGTATAACAATATTACACCATGTATAACATTGTATACCATTGTATAAATGGATGAAGTTTGGGATTAATAAAGTATTTTGAATTGAATTGAAAAGATTTTGCCTTGTGCAAAATTCCCATTGACACATTCTTCTATTTCTTATTGTCTGTTATTTAAACAAAGGAAGTCTAATCAACTGTCAAAAGTCCATTGAGAGTTTGAGCCATATAACAGAAACATCATCAAAAATCCCTTCTGCTAAAATATTATTAAATGAGTTCAAGATGAAAACTTATATTATAATACAATAGCATGTGGTTTATTAATGAAGACTAAGAATGCCATAAATGTGAAGGTGTGACTGTGATTGTACTGAGAGGATTAATTTGTTGTGACTGTTGAAAGGTTTTGTTGCTTCCTTGTCACAGAAACAGTGGGTTTTGTTAATGAGTTGCACCTGAGCCGTTCCCTCTGTGTGCTTAGTTTGTTGACAGGTTTCAGCACTACTTGAAAGGACGGACGATGACAGAACCCGTTCGCCTCATCACCTTTGTGGAAACCGCTGTGGGCCTGCTCAATTTTAAGGTAAATTACAAGCGAAACCCCACCCTATCCAAAACAAAAAACTGCACACGTAAGACGTTTTGGCTGTTTGTCCATTGTTTGCTTTATATTAAAGACAGCATCAGCGTGCAGAGGGATCCACATGTCCAAAATAAACAGGGATAAAACCGCCTCTCAAAATGAGCCTTTAGAGATTTTTTTCCTGTTTCCATCCCTCTTCAAGCATGCTACTTTTAATTAGCATTGATATCAGAGTGGAAAAGTTATTGCTGATGTTTGGAAAAACATCAAACAAAATTCTGTTATAATACAGAATGACCTTCAGCTACTTGGGCGGGAGGGCCACCGTTTTGGAGGATTTGGGGAGAAAGCAGCTGCTATTCCTTTTTTTGGTTTGTCTTTCCGTTCTTCTCTCACATTCTGTGATTGGGTTTGTGGTTGTGAGTGTGGGTTTTGATGGCAGGAGGGTGCCTTTGAGCGCTTTCTTGAACACACCCTGTATTTTTGTCCAGCCTGAACACCAGGTTACAAGCATGGAAATAAAAAAAAACTTGCTGTGGCACAGCTAGCAGTGGTAATAATTTGGTAGTTCAAAAAAAAAAAAAAGGAAGCATGAAACATATTCATTTTGCTTTAGACTCACCACAGATAATCAAGATTTTTTTTGTTGTTGTTCATTGACTGCAGCTGCTGGTTTAACATTTATTCAAACACAAATTTGGTTTGTTACTTTAATTTAATCATTTTATACTTTTAGTTTATATATAATTCAAAAAAAATATTGAAATCATAAAATGCAAGCTTCTTGTAGGATGATTAAAAAAAGACAGAAAAATGTATTTCACAGCTTTATCAACTTGAAAAAAAAGATTTTTAACAGCTGTTTGTGAAATATGAACACTTTCATAGATGTTCTGTATTTCCAGCCATTTAAGACAAGAGATGTCCCTCACTGTCCCTGCTGTTGGTCTGTGTTGATTTGATTTATATTTGTGTGACCTTCAGTAAAACATCTCAAATAGTGTATTTATTTTAGAAATATTAAAATTGTTGAACAATTATGGATGTTTTAATTTATATTGAATTTAATTATGAGTGTTTTTGCCAAAGTGTTTCAGATTTATTTCATCTCTGCTATCGTTTTCCTTCTGTCTGCCTGTATCCTGTTGTTACGTACATTGTCTAGGCTGTGTGTGAGGAAACCCGTCAGCTTGCTCCTAAGGTTGGTCTTCATCATGATGGCGTGGTGTTTGGCTCTGATGACTTCTGTGCCAGCATTGGTGAGAACTGCTTGAATCCCACATGCTTTTACAAAACAACTGTTCGTTATTTCTTCTTTAGTGGCAGACAGAATGGATAGCATTAGTTGTGAAATTAGAGATGCATGATATTGGAATTGTGGCCGACATTCAATATGCCGATATTTTAAAACTTATTTGGCCAATAACCGATAACCTATACCAATACCTATATATATTTATTAATTTTTTTCCTAAACCTAATTACAGAGACTACATCGCTTTCTCTGCTGTAGAATTAAAATACTACATTATTCTGCATGGACTTTGTCAATTTGACCTGCTACCAAATGCAGATGCCAAAAAGGGGGCTGAAAATGATGTAACACTTCAACTTGGATTATGTTTAATGTCAAATTTATTCATGATATTTACTCTCTCCTAACACAATGACAACACTCGAACAATGCAAATTTGTAAATTTTCATAAATCTAAACTCAACAACAACAAAGTCCATGCTCAATGATCCAGGTATAAAATCCAACATTTTTCAGTCAGGTCATCTGGACAGTTTCTTTTTTT